TCTCCAATTGATGTGGGATCTCACAATCCACCCCCTTTCGGGGCCCAGCGTCCTCGCTGACACTCGTTCTTCTCTCTAGTCGATGTGGGATCTCACAATCCACCCCCTTTCGGGGCCCAGCGTCCTCGCTGACACTCGTTCTTCTCTCCAGTCGATGTGGGATCTCACAATCCACCTCCTTTTGGGGCCCAGCGTCCTCGCTGACACTCATTCTTCTCTCCAGTCGATGTGGGATCCCACAATCTACTACTAGAGAGAGGCTTCCACCCCTATATAAAAATGCTTCAGTCCTCTCTATAACTGATATGGATCTCACACATCTGCCTCTCTCTTCCTTCAAATCTCTTCTCTCATATAGATAACTACTAAAGTTTTGTTTAAAGTAATTCTAGAATGGTAGACAAGATACATTGTTTACGTTTTTTTGTCCAAATTTATGTACTTTGAGAGGCTCAAAAATATGATTTCAGTTAAAATTATTTCAACTGAGTGAGATCTAGATCGAATAGGTAGAAACTAATTGATGTCACTTTCCATCTTACCGTTAACTATTATTTTTTATCGCAGTGCTGGTCGTTATGAAGTGGACGGTTATGTTTATAATACGGCGGAGGAACCTAAAATCTTGATGACAGGGAAATGGAATGAATCCATGAGTTACCAACCTTGTGATATGGAAGGGGAGCCTCTTCCAAACACTGAACTGAAAGTGGTAATATTTGCTATCGAATATAGGAGTATTGATCCTTGTGGGTTGTTTCTGTTATCTAAGCGTATCTTTTGAATCGTACCATACCGTTTTTGGTCTTTGTTCTGTAGGTTTGGCACGTGGCTAAAACACCCGAAAACGACAAATTTCAGTATACACATTTTGCACATAAGATCAATAGTTTCGATACCGCCCCTAAGAAGTTGTTGGCATCGGACTCCCGGTTGCGCCCTGATAGATATGCTTTAGAGAAGGGTGATCTATCGAAAGCAGGGTCGGAAAAGAGCAGGTTCGTTCCTCAATTTTTTCCAATCCTTTCTTAAACCTGCAATCAATACAGATTCATATGTTTTTCTTGTATGGTCAGTTTGGAAGAGAGGCAAAGAGCTGAAAAGCGAACTCGAGAGGCGAAAGGACAGAGTTTCGTGCCGAGATGGTTTGATCTAACCGAAGAGGTTACATCGACTCCGTGGGGCGACTTGGAAATTTACCAATATAACGGTTTATACGCCAAACATCGAGCTGACATCGATAGTTCTGGTTCAAGCAGCAACGACGAGGTTGACGTTAAATCGATTGAATTCAACCCGTGGCAATACGGAAACTTGTCAACACAGTAAGGGCTCTCCTCTATGTCTTATTCACTTGGATTCTTCAGTTTAGTTGGTAAGATTTTTCAGCCATTTGATATCATAGTTGTCTGTTGATTGTTTATATACATAGATCTCTTACATTTTGTAACTTTGTTATCAATCTTTGCAATCCTACAACTTTCCTCCAATGTTTTGTTGTTGGTGATATAACTCATAATTTATGTGGTTTGGCTTTAGAATGATTGATTACAAGGGGTACAAGTTTGTATCTTTCTTATGCTGCTGTTGATCCATCATGATTCTTATTAGAACGACCGAACGATCGAGAAAATTTTTAACGAATTATAAGTACCTCTTTAGTATTTTCGGAGGAAGTACTTTGATAAAGTCATGAAATGTAACCGCACAAGTCTATCTGTTATGTATTGTCGTCAGCTTCATGATTTTAAAATACGTCTAATAGAGAGAGGTTTCCACACCCTTATAAGGAATTATTCGTTCTCCTCTCCAACCGATATAGAATCTCACAATTCACCCCTTTGGGGTTCAGTGTCCTCGTTGGCACACTGCTCGTTATCTGGCTCTAATACCATTTGTAATAGCCTAAGTACATTGTTGTTAGTATCATGATTTTAAAACGCGTCTACTAGGGAGAAATTTTCATACTTTAAGGAATGTTTTCTATTCCAACCGATATGGGATCTCACGTGCAAGTTTTATTTTTTGAAAAATACATTCATTATCATTTAATTGGTCAATGGTTTGATAGTACTTTTGATCCAATCGAAATAAGCGTGGTCGATAAAGTGTCTATGGCCTCTAATATTTGAATTTAAATCATGGTCATTATTAAATTAGGACATCAAATATTGAACAATTATATGAAGACGTTAATAATTTTTCAATTTATTGATGAAAATAAAACTAATATAAAGCAAAATTAAACCTTATTATAAAAATTTAATCTAAAATCTTTGTTATTATGTTAATTAATTAACATGGTAGGTTACATTTATGTAACTAAGATTTAAAAAATTATAATTATACATTTAAGTTTTATAATCTAAACAAATATGCGTATTTTTTTAATTATAAAAACGAGTTTTCTATGAATTTAAAATTTAAAATAATATAAATTCATTTTTTCCTTTTATAGAATTATGATATTATTTTTAAATTTTAAAACTTTTATATGGTAGTATAATTCATTTTTTTTAGAACCTATCATAATATTAATTTAAACCATAGTTTCATTTAAAAAAAAAATTATAAAATAAATAGCTAATCTATTTATTTACAAAATTTTGATAGGTGATTGAGTTTAGGTAAGTCCGACCCGTCCATAGTTTTAAGATGAAGCGGGGCCTACCCGACAAAAAAAAAAAAAGTTAAGTTTATGATATTGACATTTTAATCTTATAAATATCTCCGAAAAAAAAAATTAATCATATTACTTTATTTAATAATTAAATGAGGTAAAACTAAAAAAAAAATATTTAAAATTTCCCCAAATACCCTTTTATTTTATTATTTATTATTTATTATTCACATATATTCTAGCTAGCGTCAAAGTTACTCCCATTCTATCTCTAATTCAATGGATTGATGGAATGGAATCTAATATTTATCACTTCCAAAATAAATAAATAAATAAATGGAAACTCAAATATTCCATTTTTACAAAATTCATGGTTCTTGTTAAATTCTTTCCATATTTGGAATTCAAGTCATGTGATTTTGATTTCATTTGGATGAATTTGAGGTTTGAAAGAAAAGAAATAGCTAGTTACCGACCGTGGTGATAGCAGTGGTCATGGAAGATGGCTGCAGTGATAATCGACGGTGGTGATGGCAGCCGTGAAAGTCACTAGTAGGAGTGTTCGATCGTGCTAGTAGTGGTCAAAGCTCAACAATTAAATAGTTATAACCTAAAGTTAGCATAATTGAATGGTTATATATATACACGTACCTATACATTAAAGTAATAGATAAATCATGTGACTTTGAGTATACGAGTATTAACGTTGTGATCTAGACATGTACACGGGTTGAATTGATATAGATATCAAAATTTTAAAACTGTTTTTTCCTCACACTTATCGTTGTTAATAATGACACTGTTTTTTCTTTTAATTTCGAGTGTCGGGTGCGAGATTTTCGTGACGGTGATCACTGATTTGAAATGATTTAGTTTTTTCTATATCGTTTTAAAAAGAATAAATAAATACCGATAATATAATAAGTGACTTTGGGTTTTAACGTAACCCAGTTGTAGACGATTTTAGGTTTTAACATAACCCACTGGATCACCACCGTCGATTTACGATCTTAAGATTTTGGTAGACGATTTTAGGTTTTAACTTAACCCAGTGGTAGGTGACAGGCAAAACAAAGTCATTGCTGTATTACAGCCACGTGTCGCGACAAACATTAAAAAATAATAATATTAATTTAATTCAAGCTATATATTTTAATTTTTAAATTGAAGATTTTATTTTAGAGAAAAATTCATAAGATAATACCAAACAAAAACTATCCAATAAGAGATGGGGCTTTTGACACGTAAGATTGAGACAATATCCCACCCACGCGACTTGATGCTAGTGAACGCACGCGCCAACATCAATAAATTACTTCACAACATGCTTATTGGGTAATTACATTTCTGAACGATCAGCTAAATTACCAAATTAACCCTACCGAGCCTATCTTACAGCCGTTGATTTTATGGATCTCGGACAAGCTTCACCGTTCGATCTTAATCTCCTCGTAGAAAACTGTGTTTGTCGAATAGGTATGTTCGCCACGTGCTCCAACTTTTGTCCGTATCTGTTACGTAAAATAACAATAATAATAATAATAAATAATAAATAATTTATTATTTTATGATCTTTTTATTTAATCCTTCAGTCCTTGCACTTTTATTATTTCGATTTTGGATATGATTCTTTTATTAAATATTAAATTACATTAATACAAATAAATAACTGAGATTATATTCCTTTATGTTTATATGTCTATGCATTTAATATTTGTGTTATAAATTTCTTACCAACAAAAAAATATTTTTAACATGAAAAAAATATTTCTTTACATTTAATTCGACTATTAAATTTAAATACGAATTAACTTACTTTTTAAAAATGAGTTAAAATTGTAATTTAAGACGTTAGTTACGATAGTTTGATCATTCACTTTGTAGTTGTTAACTCTTAGATAAATGACCGGTTTTCGAGGCCATTTAATTAATTAATTTTTTTATTCATAATAATAAGTAAAATTTAAATTTAAAGAATTTTATAAATTAGAAAGAAAATATTTACATGGGCTATTTGGTGGACCCAATTCAAAATTGACATCTCTTGAGTTTTATTATTTATTATTTAAATAAGCAAAAATAAATAATAAATGAAAAATTAAAAAGAAAAATAATAAGAGATCCTTTTTGTGACTCAACGTTTTTCTCGATCGTGCGGACCGCAGGCAGCCACAAGATTTAACTTAACGCCACGTGTCAAAATCTGAAGGATATTTACATTACATGGTGGGTTCATCTGGTAGACAAGAACCGGTCTTTAGGTGGTTTTAGTCACCGGTAATAGCCGGTAAACTGAGGGGTACTTACCGATAGGACCGGTGAGGGAGGTCAATGGTATAAGATAGCTGGGGTTTAAGCAGATGTGTTTTGGTGGGTTTCAGAGGGTTTTGGCGATCGGAATTTTATTCTTTTAATTTTATTTTTACAGAGAGAATAAAAAATTTTAAAACTTGTTTTGGTTTTGTGTTTGAAATTTTTTATGGTTTATTAAGCGAAAAGGAATGGGATAGAGAATGAGAGAATGTGGTGAATCAAAGCCCATCCTCGTTTCGTTCTTGGATTTCTTGTTCATGTGTAATTTACAGATCTCTTTTTGCCTTGAAAGTGGCGGTGTTTTGCCGGAATTTTGTTTTCCGGTGATGAGGATTTGAAATTTGGAAGCCAATCGTTTTGTTCCGGTGAGCCATAATTCTCTCATCCATTTCTGTTTCGATAATTCTCTCTTTCATCGTTTGTAATGGATGGATGGGTTTTTCAGAACAGTGCATTTGGATTTTAGACAAAAACCTTGGGATTTGGGACCGGGATTCGAAGATTTAACCAACAATTTCGCTTCTCAATTGTTGTTTGTTGGCAATTTTCGGTTTCCGCTCGCTCATCTTCTAAAATCTGATGATGATCACACTCGACTGGGTTTATGCTTTTGTTCGTCTTATTTGATTGTTCTTGTTTCTTCTTCTCTGTTTTGCTTTAGTTGTTTTGGAGTCCTTAGCGGATTCCTTTTCCTTCTGCGTGTTTCTAGCTATTCAATTTGTTCCTTCAGAGATTCGATCTCAGATTCTGCACCAATTATCTTTTGGATTTTGTCGACGATCGTATTCTTCCCATTTTTTCTATTTCGAGTTCTTAAATTTCGATCAAGTTTCAGCTGTTTGCAGATTCCTTCTTAGATTTGAGGAACCATCTATTTCTCATGGATTTATGTTTCTCTTCATCTTCGATGAACTACTCAAGGGTTTTGTTGCGTTTTGTTGTTAATTTATTAATTTTTAGTTTCTTCGGTTAACTCGATATCTACCTTAATTTTTTATCCAAATATATTTCTGGGTTGGGTTTGGTTTGTAATTTTTTATGCTTGCATGCCACCTTGTTTCTGAAGCTCGATTAATATTGTATTGCATGGGGTTTTTCCCTTTCTGGAATTTCTCGCGGTTTGTTTGAATTTGGGCTTTTGTTAGATCATCATCAGCCTCTGTTGAAACTTCAAGTTCTTGGCCATTGCTCCCTGTATGTGCTAGTGTTTGTGTGCGTGAATGGGTTTGGTTGGTTTGAATAGAACCCTTGGAATTGTGATGTTGAGGCCTGGAAATGCCTCAGTTTTTTGTTTTCATCTGTTGTTAAACGTCGAAACATAATTCCTCTCGATCGGGTATCGGATCGAAAAGATGAATTATATTAGTCTGAGTTTGGATCGGGTATTGGATCCTTTGGCTCCTCTGGGGTTCTTCTTTCAATGTTACTATATTAGTTTATGTGGTTTGATATTCTAAATCAATACACTGGATATAGTAATCTGAATCATCTCTTTTTCCTTCCCAGGAGTTAATCTTTGCTGTGACCTTGTGATCAAATTATTCACAACATAGAAGTGCGTTGAAACGTGCTAGATCTCTTTGCACTGTTCATATTTGTGCTATGACTTCTAAAATATGGTGCTTCAGAAGAGGTTAGATTATGGGTTCCATGGCTACCAAGTGCCAACAATGCCTCGAGCTACCAGATCAGTCAGGGTACAAGTCCTCTATCATTCTTGGCCTTCGTTCCAAATTACTTAGAGATCTGTCTTCTGCTTCATTCGATTATGATGAATTTGAATGATTTTCTAATTATTTCAGAAGAGAAGTTTATGTAGAAAGGGCACTGAAGGTGGTCAAATGCGTGCATTTGATTTATTGGCCACTGTTGCTGACAAGTTGTTGCATGGAACAGATGGTCCTACCACGACTACTACTGATACATCAACCGAAAAAGATAGGTATGCAGTTATGAACAAAGAATTGGATGCAAACAGTTTGCTCAAGGTCGAGCCTTCTGATCGAGGCAGTTGCGACCAGGGCTTTGTCTCAGAGCTCGTTTTATCAGGCCACGAAAAAAAATGTGATTTAAATGGTTGTCTTCCACAGCATGATGAAGATTCACCACCACAATTAGTTTCTGTAGTAACAAATTTTGACAAGAGCAAGGAAATGGGAAATTTAGCTAGCGAGGTACATGTAGGCTCCCCCAGAAGCAAGGAGTCTGATAACTGTGAATTGGATGGTAAAAGTAAAGTTATAGTAAAATATGAGTTGCATAAAACTGAAGAGGTGCTTACTGGAACTCAGGATCAATATGACTCGTGCAAGAGAGAGGATCCTGTTATATGGGACCAGAAAGCTCATGTGTTGGGAAATTCGAATGGTTGTGGCAAGATGACTCAGGACAAACAGATCATTCAGAACTCTTCTTTTGCAACTCAGAATAATGTAAAATTAGTTGATAGAGATGACGACGAAATCTCTTCTGGGTGCACTCACCCAGTTTCCTCAATAAAGTCCTTCAGGACAGTACCTAGTAGTAGAGACCGACGAATAAAGAAAGTATCAGCTTCCAAATCTTGGAAAGTAGTTCCAAGATGCAGGGACGAATCACTTTCTAAGACCGGCAAGTAACCTGCTTTATGGCACTATTTGTTGCATTGGGTGTGTTTTTACGCAGGTTCGGTTCATTTTCAAATAGATTGTTTTCTTGGTTCTAGATGGCATTTGGAAGTCTATGTTTCGGAGTAAGAGCTCTCACGACAGTTGCAGACGCCAGAAATCTCAAATGAATATTCCTTTTAAAAAGAGGAAATTCTTTGACTGTAGTAGCTCAGTGTCAAATTCGGATGGTGGAATTAATTCAGAGGGTCTTTCCGATTCAACCGGGAAGGTTTTCAATTCTGATATCTCAGGTACGTTCTTTAAAGCGATGCCTTTATTACTGCTTTTAAAATAGCAAATGGTACCTTTTTGTGCTTGAGATTTATTTCTGAATGTTGTCCCCATGCAGGGAGATCATGTTCTGCATCTGGTAATGGCCATCACAAATCTTTCCCATCCAAAGATTCTCATGGTATGAGAACTTCTGATGGATTTACTGCACTGAATTGTCTTGGCTTATTATTTCGACTTGCTCGTGGATTATACATGAAGATTTTTATCTTTTTCTCACAGTGAAAATTAGGATAAAATCTTTTAGGGTGCCAGAGCTCTTTATTGAAATTTCAGAGACTGCAACTGTTGGTTCATTGAAGGTATGAAAACGCTTCGACTTTGCATCCATCAACTGTAAATTGGTTGTAGACACAGTATGATATAGTTTTAATCTACATAGTTATCTTGCAAAGCCTGAAAGGGGAAATGTTACAATGATTTTGTGTGTCCGTTTTTTCTCATTTTGAAGTTCTCGAGTTAGCAGAGATATCAATACACCTGCGATTTGTGGGAACCATGATTTTTTTTTATTGTGTTCTGATCTTGCTTAAACTGTTCTGTAGAGGACCGTAATGGAAGCAGTAACTGCTGTACTTGGCGGTGGAATACGGGTCGGTGTTCTTCTTCAGGGGAAGAAGGTTAGAGATGACAATAAAACTTTATTTCAAACTGGAATTTCTCATGACAACCAGCTTGATTCATTGGGGTTTGCCCTTGAGCCTAATCCTTCACGAACTCCTCTTGCATTGTGTCAAGAAGATTCTCCCTGTATTCTTCCATGTGATGCCCCCGAACCTCTAACTAGGTAAACAGAATATGGCGCCCGGTGTTTTTCGATAAATGTGTATTTTAGTAGTTTTCATATTATAAAGCTGATAAACTTGCAAGTTGAAGCATATCAATTTGATCATTAGGTATATTCTTTGTTTCTGGTTTCCAAGAAAATGTGTTTCTGTATCATTTCTGCTCTGCTGTTATAAGGGCCTATGTAAATAGTAAAGGGCATGTAAGGAACACATTCAAACCATGGTGACTAGTCCTATTTAGGATATAACATCTTTCCAGTTTTCTTGACGATCAATTTAGTAGGGTTAGATGCATGCAAGTTGAATAGTAGGGATCAGACAGTTGTCTTACGTAGTCGAAGAGGAAAAAAAAAGGGTTGTGGGAAGTTGAATATTTGTGGAAAGTGATTGACTACTGTGATTTGCAGGTATTCACCGGATGCTTCTGCAGATCATCCAGGCAGTAGCAGTGTGTTGCCCGAGCCTCATGGAGACTCTTTAGGTCATTTCATCCAGAGTGACCATGATTCGGCGCCCTCTCCTACCAATACGTCAAATCACAAGAGCACAACAGACTCTAAAGCGCTGGTCAATGTGCCAGCAATGACAGTGGAGGCACTTACTGTAGTTCCCATGCATCGAAAATCTAAGCGGTCTGAGGTTGCACAGCGGCGAATTCGCAGACCCTTCTCCGTTGCTGAGGTGGAGGCATTGGTTCAAGCTGTTGAGAAACTTGGTACAGGAAGGTATATATTTTGTTACTAGCAAGCAAGGAATGTCTCCAAATATAAAATCTAATAACACAGAAGCAAGGAACAATCGTACCGTAACGTGCATGACTGAAGTACGATCAACATTGAAAACGTTTACATGGCTGATATTTATTATTCTGTAGGTGGCGAGATGTTAAACTCCGCGCGTTTGACAATGCAAAGCATAGAACTTATGTTGATCTGAAGGTATGGAACCTCTCCTTTGTTTCGTTTCGAAAGCCCTATTCGATGAATTAGATATTAAACAAAGCAAAAACTAGAGGGATTTGGCTGTGAATTCAGGACAAATGGAAAACACTGGTGCACACGGCGAGGATATCCCCTCAACAAAGACGGGGGGAGCCCGTGCCACAGGAGCTTTTGGACCGAGTCTTGTCTGCGCACGCTTACTGGTCGAAGCAGCAAGCTAAGTACCAGCTGAAGCGGCAGCCAGAGACGACGACTCCAATGAACAAAAAAACCCAGCAAAGTTGGGGGTAATGGAACATCCGCATATATATATATATATATATATATATACACATATATATATAGTTTACTCTTTTGAAAGGTCTTTGTGGCTACTGTTTTTTTGTTTTCTTGTTCTTGGTTGGGTTGGGGTTTAAAAGAGAGATGTGTTGTAAAAATTAATGATAAGAAAAGGGTGATTATGAAGCAATGGAGTATGTTATATTGTGTCCATAGATTGTTCTTTTCCTTCCTGCAGGGAGAGGCTCTTTTGGCAACTTGTATAAATCATTGTCGGAATAAGAGCTTGCTTACGGAATTCTCTCTCTCTTTTTTTTTTTTTGTTTTTTTTTTGTTTCTATTCATAGCAGCACGACAAAATGAACGTGGAAACTTGGTTCGTTCACATGACATCTTGTTAGAAAAGACCCATACTCCGAGAACAAAGTAAGGGATTGAACTGCACAAAAAGACACTTGAGTGACTTGAGCAGCATGAAAGCCACGATCACGAAAGTCACAATAATATGATTGACTCTTTCATTTGTATTTTCAAATCTCAAGTCAATAGCACTTAGAAAAAATTGTAGGGCTTGAAGTTGGATTAAGAATCTCGAGAGGACTTTTGAAGCTTATTTTGCCTGCTAGGTTAACATCATGATAAAGGGGTATAGAGTCAAGGGTTCGACTAAGTCACGACTAACTAAACTTTTGTATTTGTGTTTAATAAAGGGGTATAGAGTCAAGGGTTCGGCTAAGCCATGGCGAGTGGAAAAAAAAGAAAATCATAACTGACTTCTGTGGTGTCTAATAGATCTAACTTTAAATTTTGTATATTTAAATACTTTAAAAAATGTCAAATAATGATCCTAAATTTTTTATTTGATTTTTTCTAATAAATTTAACTTGAATTTTATAAAAAAATTTATAAGACATTTAATAATAGAATGATTAAAGCTTGCAAGGTAAAATAAAATAAAATAAAATAAAATAAAATAGAATATTGTGTTTAAAAGTTCAAATAAATAAATAAATAAATAAATAAATAAATATTAATAACATAAACAGACAAAATAAGGACACCGAACATAATTATACTCAATAATCAAATCTAAATTATGATTACCTAGAAACTGAAAAAAGTATGTTTTATTTTAACAAATTCCGAGATTTTGGTTGTGTTTGAATGAACCATTTTTATGAGCCATGTGTTTGCATAATGATTAAGGCTTAATAATTTGGAGATTGGATCCAAAATCATTCCCTCATTCATCAATCCTATTTTTTCTTTTAAGAATACGACAAAATGAAACATACAGATATGAACTTCGACCTTTAGAAAAAGAAGAACATGTCATATACTCCCCTCGAAGTTCGACTCATGGGACTCGGAGTCTTAAGAATACGAGCACTGTGAGAGAAATTCGGTTGATAAACAAGAAATATGAGAATCTCCCTTCCACGAAAGCTCTAACAAACGAGGTTTTGTGGATGATATCATTATCAAACATACAGTGTTTTCAACATGTTAGTCAACTGTAAAATGAATTGACCGTTCTCAAAGTTTATATTTCAAAATTAAGGTTCTTTTTTTCTTGAGTTGGCTAGATATATCGACCGTAGCCCATGAAGTTTAGGGTTTAGAGAGATAGGATAGAATAACACATATCTCGTGGTCTTATTTATGTTATGATATCTGAACAAACTATATGATGCAATTATTTTTATGTTTGATTATGAATGCTTTGTTGATATGACCATGTTTACGTCTTGTGAGACATCATGATGTACCACATGTGATAAATCTTAATGAAATATCGTGATGCATGCACATAATCATAACGGGTATACTTCATAATGCTATTATGTGCATCATCCATATGCTCGTGGATTACTTCTCCAACATGTTATGCACGGACGCATACACTATGATATTATTTACGCTCCTTTATTTTCGTTTGTTTTTAGCAATTTGAGCCTGCACTAGCTCTTAACCAAGCCCATGTTGTACATTAACGAGCCTGTCTACTAGGACTACGTGCATGTGCATGAAAAATGTGTAGAAAAGTATTACACATCCAACCCGACCCTAAAAGAAAGTAAAGTCCAACTCGATTAAATCTTATTTAAATTAATGAAAAATTTTAAGATAAAGCAGATCGAACACAAGTCATAATTGAGCATCATTACTTTTTATAATTAAAAATGATTAATAAAAAAAGAATTTGATTTGATTATGTTCCCTCCACCCACCAAAATTGACTATGAATTGTGTGAGAGTGACACCCAAATAAACATAAATTTAATATATAAAATTTCTCAATTATGATTGGCTTTTTGAAAATAGTAATTAAAATATATAAAATTTTATTAAAAAAATAAATAAATAATTTCAAGAAAAGGTTTGAATTAGTTTAGGAAGTTATTATTTTAATTTTCTTAATTAAATATGAGAAATGGATAAATAATTAATTTTACTTTTTTTTTTTTATTTTCCCTATTTTTTAATTCATGAATTACAAATTTTATAACCATTTTAGTTTTTTTTTTTTAACCAATTTTTTTATAATTACCGGTACCCATAATTTAGAATTGAGATTAGACCGTTGATAATTTCGGCACTCTCTACTATTCAACACAAGTTCTTGTAGCATGTTTTGTCCTTACTCACATGCATTCTAAGAAGATTCCTAGGACATCACTCAACCTACAATTGTTCCAGACAAAACACACTCATTTACTCGGGTGTCAAAAATTATAAATAAATTATTTATTTTAAAAATAATAATTCCAAAAACCAAAAAGGAAAATAGAAAATAAAATAAAAGAATTTAATTCCAATAAAGTGCCACTATTACAATATTCATTATGCTTTTCACTTTCCACATTATTGGTGGATTATTATATTTTTAAATTTCAGTATCAAAAAAGTTTATTAAAAAAATATGAAAAAATCTACCAAAATCTTAATTTTATCTTAAAAAATTCCATCTTCAATAATATTTTTTATATATTAATAATTTACCTAAAAATAATAATATAACAATTTGAATATCGTTCAACTAGTTAACAGAGTAGGTTAAAGTTGTTGGATGATGAAAGTCCCACATCGGCTAATTTAGGGAATGATCATGGGCTTATAAGAGAGGAATACTAACTCCATTGGTACGAGGTCTTTTGGGGAAGCTCAAACCAAAGCCATGAGAGCTTATACTCAAAGTAGACAATATTATACCATTGTAAGAGTCGTGTTCGTCTAACAAAAGTTTTGAAAATTTTCACCCATTGGGTTGAATTAAAAAATATTATATTATATATTTGATCTTTTTTTATTAATTTAATATTTATAGAGTTTAAAATGCAAAGTCAAGTAGAGTTATATATTATAATCAAATAATACAATTATACCATTTTAATTTGAAATGATAAAAATGCCTTTGAATCTTATTTTAATTAATGTATACGTGTAATTTAAATAATAATTCAATGTTATTATTATCTTACGTCATAAATAAATATTTGAGCCACGTCATAAATAACTATTTAAACTCCTTGATGATATGACAGGTGTGTTCCCATTTTTTGGAGGCTCCTAGATTAATTTTTTTTTTAATTTTTTTTTCTAAGGAGTGTTTATACTTTTATCACAAAACTATAAATGGTTTTTCTAAAACTATTATTTTAATTATTGAGTTATGAAAACAAATATTTGGTTTGACATGTGGTTAAGGACAGATATACTCGAATGACTTGTATTCGGTGTGAGGATAGTCTTCACTCTTAAGTAACAATGAGTAGATATTGTTTGTTTTGACATGTTACGTGTTGTTAGCCTCACTGTTTTACAATGCATGTACTAGGGAAAAGTTTTCACACCCTTATAAGAAATGTTTCATTTCCCTCTCCAACCGGTGTGAGATCTCACAATCCTTTCTTTTGGGTGCCAACGTCTTTGCTAGCACACCTCCCGGGGACTAGCTCTAAAACCATTTAAAATAGTCGAAACCCACCAATAGTAGATATTGTCTATTTTTGCTCGTTATGTATCGCTATCAGCTTCATGATTTTAAAACGCGTCTACTAAGAAGATGTTTCCACACCCTTATAAGTTGTGCTTTTTTTCCCTCTTGACCGATGTGGAATCTCACAAGGTAACCTGACTAAGTTGTAGGAGAATGTTGGAGCTATCAGGTGTCGAATCTAAATTCCAAATCTTGAACATAGGTCGTTACCATCAACAAAAAAATTGTTTTTATTATTTCTATTTAGTACTTAAATGTTAAAATATTTTTACTACGGTCCGTTAATAGGTCATTATCATTAACCCTATTACTTAAATATTAATGAGACGTGGTAGTAAATAATTAGACAAATAAATGATGATTTATACCATATAATATAATGTGACACATGAAGATAAATCGGTCGACTAAAATAATTTCAATACTTTCTTGTACTACACATTTAAATGTGTCGTATGAATATTTAAATGAATTTATTATCATATTTTAAAGAACTTGTGAGATATAAAAATTTAAAATTTATAAAAATATTATGATTAATTTAATATATAGTTTATTTTTTAGTTAAAATTATTAATATTTTCTTTTATGATTAATTGTTGCTTATCTCATGGTCACGTGTAGTTTAATGATTTGTCAGAAAAGTCGTTGTTCCACAGCTTTTATTTAATTAATTAAATATACTCTTATTTTAAAGTTTTAAAAAATTATACTGAACTTTTGAGCATTCGATCCTCACCCTTCAATTTGATTCAAAAAGTTTATTATTTTATAATTCGACTAACTTGAGTTGAATTAAATTTTTTATTTTGGGTTTGAATCGGGTCGTAGAGAGTTGGTTCAATGGTTAAAATTTTTAATCCGACTAATATGAAAATGTCATCAATTTTAATATAAGCTAATACGTGACATATTTATGTACCACATGAATTTCATTTTTTTTTTAATGAAAATACAATATTATTTATTGCTAGCATGAAACTATTTGAATAGTTAAAAATACGTTACTTTTGTTTCTTCAACATTTTTTAAAAAATTTAAAATTAAAAAAAGAAAAAAAAAAGATAAAGATGAATGGTTGAATTCATTGTATTGGGACATTTAATTTTGTATGTCGGGACTCGAAAGAAATTTTATTTTATTCAAATTAATTTCAAAGTGTCCACGTTGTCACAATTATAGTATGAAAAGAGTAGGTTGTGACCCTCATAGAACCTGGATGGATGGATGTTCGGGAAGTCCCGATGAGATGAACGACACGCGGGCTCATTCTCGATGGCATGACCGAATGAGTTATG